CTACAGAGAAACTCTGTCTCGAAAAACCAAAATAAATAAATAAAAATAAAAATAAAAACAAAGCTGGGTGGTGGTGGTGCAAACCTTTAATCCCAGCACTCGGGAGGCAGAGCCAGGCAGATCTCTGTGAGTTCAAGGCCAGTCTGGTCTACAGAGCGAGATCCAGGACAGGCACCAAAGCTACACAGAGAAACCCTATCTCAAAAAACAAACAAACAAAAAAAAAGGTGTTAGAAAAGGCAGGCAATGTTAAAAGAAAGAAAGAAAGGAAGGAAGGAAGGAAGGAAGGAAGGAAGGAAGAAAGAAAGAAAGAAAGGTGAAAACAAACATATATAAATCAGCATTTGAGAGGCAGTGTATGTACACGTCTGTATGAGTTCAAGGCCAGCTTGGTCTAAAAAGCGAGTTCCAGGACAGCCAGAACTGTTACACAGAGAGACCCTGTCTTGAAAATCAAAACAAGAACAACAAAAACCATCAAAACCTATAAATATATATAAATCTCAGCATTTGAGAGACAATGTATGTACTCATTTCTGTGAGTGTGAGGCCACCCTAATCTACATAATGAGTTCCAGGCCAGCAGGGCCACACAGTAGCATTTATTTATTTTTATTATTAATGTGCACATGTTCGAGGATGTGTATACGTGGGTGTGTGCATGCCAGATGCATGTGTAGAGGCCAGAGGACTTCTTTGGGAAATCAATTATCTCCTAACGCTGTTTGGGATCCAGGGAAGGAGTTTAGGATGGACAAGCTTAGCAGGAAGCTCTTTAGCCACTGAGAAATCTTGATAGCCCTGAGTTTCTTTTTGTTTCTTTCCTCTCCCTTTTTCTCCCTCTCCTTTTCCCCCTCCCCCGCCTTCCTCCTGCCTGGACCATCCAGAGCTCACGAGGTTGCTCAGGTCCACTTGAACTGTCAGCAACCTGGCTGACTTGGCTTCCCCGAGGGTAAGATTACAGATATGAGCCACCACACTCTGTTTCTTTAGCAGCAAATTTAGAGGGTGAACTTGAGCCTCTACTTAGTGCTTTGTATCTTATTTACTTGGCACTGAACTTTATTTCCTCCAAGATTTTTATCATGGGGGCTGGAGAGACAGCTCAGTGGTTAAGAGCACTTGCTGCTCTTGTAGAGAACTTGGGTTTGGTTCTCAGCACCTGCATCTATCACATCTGTTTCTAACTCCAGTTCTAGGGGATCCAATACCCTCTTCTGAGCTCTGAGAGTCACTGTTTGCAGTAGCTTAAGAAGGAAAAACTCATAATTCATTGCATTTCCCATCAGGTCCAATCAGGGGCAAGCGTACGTCCTGATGTATTTGCTACCTGTGAACCTCCTGCCCACATGTGATCAAGCATATCTGTGCAGATGGGTCAAAAAAACTTGTTTAGGGGGGTAAAAACATGTGACTTGTTATCTCCCATAAACAATAGCCTCCAACTGTTGCTAGAGTTTTCCTGTCTTGCCCACAGTCAGGACAAATCTTTGTCACCAGCCAGTCCCACAGCCGCTCAGACCCAACCAAGTAAACACAGAGACTTATATTGCTTACAAACTGTATGGACGTGGCAGGCTTCTTGCTGACTGTTCTTTTATCTTAAATTAATCCATTTCCATAAATCTATACCTTGCCACGTGGCTGGTGGCTTACCGGCGTCTTCACATGCTGCTGGTCATGGCGGTGGCTGCAGTGTCTCTCCACCTCAGCCTTCCGCTTCCCACAATTCTCCTCTCTCCTTGTCCCACCTACTTCCTGCCTGGCCACTGGCCAACCAGTGTTTTATTTATTGACCATTCAGAGCAATTTGACATATAGACCGTCCCATCCAGCATTTCAGGAACTTTCTGTTCTTGGGCAAGAGGCTTGCAGATCAGAGGCATTTTGTTTCCTGGATCTCTTAGGCATAGTGTAGCTTTTTATGCGGCAGCGCAATGCTATTCATTAAGCGGTGCTGTTACCGTGAGAGAAAAACCAAGAGGCACGACAAAACCCACTGTAAGAGTTTTATTAGGAGGAGAGAGGAAGATGTGTGTGTGTGTGTGGGGGGGGGGAGTCTGTGACCCACTTTTTATGCACTCCCCTGCACATGCACGTACAGGCTTATGGAGCACCACCACGCATGAGCATAGATTGTGTGATCACGCTGTGCACAAATTATGGGACCATGCAGCGACCACGCAGCACATGGATTACATAGGACGTAGAGCCCTGGAATGACTAAATATCTGAACAGCGCATGTACGATCATGTAGCTGGGGGAGTGGCCAGAAATTCCAACACATAGTAATTAAAACTTAAAATGTAACTTTGAGCTGGATGGCAGTGGCACATGCCTTTAATCCCAGCACTCGGGAGGCAGAGCCAGGCGGATCTCTGTGAGTTCAAGGCCAGCCTGGTCTATAGAGCAAGATGTCTACAAGCACCTGTCTTAAAAAAAAAGGGGGGGGGGTGGTTGGGGATTTAGTTCAGTGGTAGAGAGCTTGTCTAGCAAGCACAAGGCCCTGGGTTGGGTCCTCAGCTCCAGAAAAAAAGAAAAGAAAAGAAAAAAAAAACTTAAACAACAAATGTAATTTTGACTCTCACACTGACCTGCAGATGGAATTTTCCACCTAAATCCCCAAGCCCCCACTACTGCAGAGACGAGTTTACTGTCAGTCACTCTGACTAAAGAACAATTCTGAGTAGAGGTTTATAATGAGTCTTTCTCTGTCCTGCCATCCAGCTCCCAAATAATGACACAGAGACTTATTAACGATGAAAGCTTGGCCTTAGCTTAGGCTTATCCCACTAGCTCTTATAACTTAAATTAACCCATTTATATTAATCTACATTTTGCCTCGTGGCTTTTTACCTTTCTTTCATTCTGTATATCCAACTCCCTCCAATGTCTCCTTGGCTTCTGATGTGCATCTAGATTTATCTACTTCCTCTCTCTCTCTGCCCAGAATTCCTACCTCTACCTCCTGCCTAGCTATTGGCCGTTCAGCTCTTTATTACACCAATCACAGCAACACATCTTCACACAGTGTACAAATATCCCACAACAGAGGTTGGCTGTGATTTCCACGTCGCCTCCATCAATCCCATTCTAACAAAGGCAAAGACTTGCTGATAGACATATCTACTATGCCTGGAACTGCCCAGGAATTCTTCAATCAACATCTGTGGGATGAACAACACACTTTAACAGAACACAGGTGCCTCTCTTCTCACCACAGGGCAGCTAGGAGTGACTTTCCCCAGGGAGATTCTGCGATGTGGGCTTAGCCAGAGTCTGAGAGAGGACAGCTCACTGGTCTGAAGATGGAGCAGGAAACCAGCTGTGAAAATGACGAAAGCAATGGCTTGCAAGTCTCAGTTGACTGAGCAGGTCCCTGTGGCCTAGGAAAACAGGTTGGACCGGTTTTTCCTCCTCCCCCACTCCCCTCCCCCAGGAAAGAAGGAATGGAGGCCTCCAACGCAGGTGCTGCCAACCCCCACAGTTTCAAGTCTGTTGTTCAGGTTCTCAGGGCCCTGGACATGTGGGATCACAGGGGTTGATTAAGGGTCTGACATTCTCTGGGGGTGTTTGGGGGTACATTTAAAAGCCCAAGCCTGGGGATTGGAGAGATGGTTCAGCAGTTAAGAGCAATTACTGCTCTTCCAGAGGACCCAGGTTCAACTACCAGCACCCATGTGGCAGCTCACAACTATCTGTAACTCGAGTTTCAGGGAAACCAAAATTTCCCATGCCAAAACACTAATGCACACTAAGAGAATAAAAAGTACAAAAAAAAAAAAAAAAAAAAAAAAAAAAAAAGCCCAGCCCTTGAGGAAGGTGACCAAAGACCAAAGTCCTTCCAAGGTCTCACTGGGGCAAGGCTCCCAGATCATCCCTACCTCTGTCCTTTCATTAATTCATTTAATAATATTTTCCTAGCTTTGAAGATAACATCATAAACACAATAATTTGTATGAGCCTTTTCGGAGATAAAACGAGCACAGTAAATATATCCATGATGTGGTATTGAAGAGCAGAAAAGAATAAAAAGGGGAGTGTCTGGAGTGAGGTGCCTGGGGGGAGAGGGCGGAGGCAGGGAGGATCATGGGACATTATCAAGGGACACACTTGAAAGGGCTTTGGTGTGCTCTCTGTGTGTGTGTGTGTGTGTGTGTGTGTGTGTGTGTGTGTGTGTGTGTGTGTGAGAGAGAGAGAGAGAGAGAGAGAGAGAGAGAGAGAGAACACTCAAGTCCTCTGGCTTGGCAGCAAGTACCTTTGCCTACTGAGCCATCCCATCAGCGCTTTTTCTGGATTCTTAAAGTCAGCATTTCTTGGCGTGGCCTTTCTTCATTTTCAAAGCCAGGAGGAGCATCTTGCATTCCGATCCTCCTTCTTGTAATTACACCATGTCCAACTGGATAATCCAGATTATTCTCTTCCTCTCAAAGACCTTTAAGGGACGTTCTGGGGAGAGGACACAGGTATCTTTGGAAAGCTATTGTGTGGCACACTTCAGGAGGCTGCTACACTAGTCTAGCAGAGATAATGGTGCCCTGGAGTGGGGTGACAGCCGTGGAGAGTGACAGATGCTGGGGTCCTGTGGAAGCAGGACCTTTGAGGGCTAGGCCAGCAGGACGTTCTGAGGGGCTGGACTTGTGTTAATCCCACCGACTGGGAATAAGACCACTACCACAATTTAAAGCCCAATTTGAAGCAAGCTTTAATTAAATACTGGCCAGGTGGATGGGCTCTGGCCATGTCCACACCCAGGTTCCTGGGAAATGGCCGGGACTCCCAGTTTACAGCAGTTTAAGAAGGAAAATCTATTGCTGCCTCAGGGACCAGCCTCTAAGCAGCTCAGGGTTTGGAGGGAAGCCACGGTGCTGGCTGGCGTAGCTAGGACCTCTCCTATCTGAGGGCATGAGGGAAAAAGACACTCACAGTCTCTTGATCATTTCCTTCTTTATTCATTAGCCTCTTCTCATGGACTCTCTGGGCTGGAATCAGCTGCCTTGGGTTTGGCTGGCTTTTGGGGGGACAGCCATACAAAGGCATATTTATAAATTGTTACATAAAGTATTTTCTCAATCCAAGGTCCCCAACCTTAATCTACATGTTTTACTGAAGGGAAGCATCACATGCCTCCCTGACTCTAGTCTTTCACTAAGCATTATGTGCAATACACAAATAAAACCTTAGACTCACAAATATAAGATAGATACAACTTCCTTAATTTTGCCAAATACAAATAGACTAGTTATTATAAATAGACTAGATATTGTAACTGTAATTCTTGCTTGATAATTGTTTTGTTATATGAAATTTTACTATGTTAAAGTTAAAACCTTCCTTTTTGAAAAAAAGAAAAAAGGGAAGTGCTGTGGATGGTTGATTGATAAACAAAACACTGATTGGCCAGTAGCCAGGCAGGGAGTATAGTCAGGACTAGCAGAGAGGAGAATTCTGGGAACAGGAAGGCTGGGGTGGAGGAGACACTGCCAGCTTCTGCCATGAGAAGATGTAAGGTACCGGTAAGCCACAAGCCATGTGGCAACTTATAGATTAATAGAAATGGGTTGATTTAAGATATAAGAACAGTTAGCAAAAAGCCTGCCTAGGCCATACAGTTTGTAAGCAATATAAGTCTCTGTATGTTTACATGGTTGGGTCTGAGTGGCTATGGGACTGGCGGGTGAGAGAGATTTGTCCTGACTGTGGGCCAGGAAGGAAAACTCTAGCTACAAAAAGAGTCCCAGGTGTGTCTGAGGTGTCCTGTGACCAAGGTCATGGGAAGGCCGCAAGGCCCCTTCAGGAAAACAATCATTATTCTTCACATAGATTCTTCAGGGTCAAAGTAGTTCTAAGAAACATCTGTTTATCCTAATCTCTACTCTATACAGGGATTTTGCTAAATTCTTACAGAGTACAGTAGCTGGAAGTTTTCCTGTGTCCTGCAGCTACTAAGTCCCAAATAAACACACAGAGTCTTATATTAATTACCAACTGTTTGGTCTATGGCTCAGGCTTGTTATTAACTAGCTCTTTCATCTTAAATTAACCCATTTCTATTCATCTGTGCATTGCCATATCTTGTGGCTTTACCTGTGTTCCATTACATCTTGTTCCCCTGGTGGCTCTAAGCGTCTGTGTTGACTCCACATTTCTTCTCTCTGTATTTCTCTTGGATTTCCCATCTGGCTATAATTTGTCTTACCACAGGCCAAAGCAGCTTCTTAATTAACCAATGGTAGCAACACATATTCACAGCATACAGAAAGACCATCCCATAGCACTTCTTCCCCTTTTCTTTCTAATCAAGAAGGAAGGTTTTCATTTAATGCAGTAAAATTACATATAACAAAACAGTTATCAAGCAAGAATTAAAGGAGCCGGGCGGTGGTGGCGCACACCTTTAATCCCAGCACTCGGGAGGCAGAGCCAGGCGGATCTCTGTGAGTTCGAGGCCAGCCT